GCCTTAGCCGGTTGAGCTATAGGCGCCGAGCCCAGTTTTGGAACTCTTTCTAGAATGGCCATAAAACTGTCAACGTATCAGCTCTGACAATTAAATTTGCAAACTCATCATAGAGAAAGTGCTTTAAAAAAATCACAAGAAAACACTAAAATATTTTGTGAATAGCCCTGTGGCTCAGAAGGGTAGGGTGCCAGCCCCATAAGCCAGAGGTGGCAGGTTCAAACCCAGCCCCGGCCAAAAAAAAATTTTATGACTATAAATGCAAAAAATCCTCAACAAAATATGAATAAGTCATATCGAACAATATATAAAAATAATTATACACGACAGCCAAGTAGGATTTATCCCAAGAATGCAAGATTGGTTTAACATCTGAAAATGAATTCATGTGTTATGCTACCTTAGGAAAATAAAGAACAAAAATCCCACGATCACCTCAATGGATACAAAACATTCAACATCCCTTTATGACAAAGTAGGGGCAGAAGGGAATTTGTTCTTTTTTTTTTTTTTTAGTGTCACTTTGTCGCCCTTGGTAGAGTGCTGTAGCATCATAGCTCACAGCAACCTCAAACTCTTGGGCTCAAGCAATTCTCTTGCCTCAGCCTCCCAAGTAGCTGGGACAATAAGCATCCACCACAATGCCTGACTATTTTTAGAGATGGTGTCTCGCTCTTGCTCAGGCTGATCTTGAATCTAAGCTCAAGCAATCCACCCGCCTCAGCCTCCCAGAGTGCTAGGATTATAGGTGTGAGCCACTGTGCCCTGCCTCAGAAGGGATTTTTTTTTTTTTTAAGAAGGGAATTTCTTCAACCTGCTAAAGGGCATCTACAAAAAAACCCACAGCTAATGTCAATATTTATTCTTCCTAAGATTGGGAATGAGAAAAGGATATCCGCTCTTGCCATCCTATTCAACATTTTGCTGAAAGTCTTATGCAGGAAAGTCAAAAAAGGAAAAGAATAAGAGGAATCCAGATTGGAAAGAAGTAAAACTATCTGCAAATGTTTTGTTCTCATGTAAAAGCACCCTGTTAGTGTCCTGTTAAACTATTAGAACTAAAGTTATAATGATTAGAACAAATAAATGAATCAACAAGGGTGCAGAATAAAATACCAATGGAAAAAAAAAGCAATTGTTTTTCTATGCACTAGCAATGAGCAAACCAAAAATGAATTTAAGAAAACAAGTCCACTTATGAAAACATGAAAAAGAAAAAATATGAATAAAGGATATTTAACAAAAGTAGAAAGTGTATACTCTTGAGAACTAGAAAATTTGTTGAAAGAAATTTAAAAAGACCTAGATGGAAAGATATCTCATATTTGTGGATAGGAAGATTTAAATTTTTTTTGCAGTTTTTGGCCAGGGCTGAGTTTGAACCAACCACCTCTGGTATATCGATGGGGCTAGTGCCCTACTCCTTTGAGCCACAGGCACCCTCCAACATTTAATATTGTTAAGATGGTACTACTCACCAAATTGATTTACAGATTCAACATAATCTCTTAAAATTCGAATCAGCTTTTTTGCAGAAACTGACAAACTGATTATAAAACGTTTATGGAAATTAAAAAGGGACCCAGAATAGCCAAAGCAATCTTGTAAAAAAGGAACAAAATCGGAAGGCTCATACTTCCCAATTTCAAAATTTACCACAAGGCTGCAACAATGAAGATAATGTGTTACTGGGATAAGGACAGAAATAGAGACAGGCTGGAGCCTATGACTCAAGTGGCTAAGGCGCCAGCCACATACATCTAACAGGTGGGTTTGAACCCAGCCCAGGCCCACCAAACAACAATGACAAAAAATAGCCAGGCATTGTGGCGGGTGCCTGTAGGCCCAGCTACTTGGGAGGCTGTGGCAGGATACTCACTTTGAGCCCAGTAGTTGGAGGTTGCTGTGAGCTGTGATGCCAAGGCACTCTACCCAGGGGGAGAGCTTGAGGCTTTGTCTCAAAAAAAAAAAAAGAAAGAAAGAAAAAGAAATAGAGACAAATAGGCGAGATTTCAGAATCCAGAAATTAACTCTACTTTACAGTCAAATAATTTTGAATAAGGATGTCAAGACAATTCAATGAGGAAAGAAGAGTTCTTTCAATAAATGGTGCTAAGACAACTGGGTATGCTCATACAAAAGAATGAAATTAGACCCTTCCTGCACACTATATACTAAAATGAACTCAAAATGGATCAAAGACCTAAACGTAGGAGCTGAGACTATATAAAACTCTTTGAAGAGGGCAGGCACTATGGCTCATGCCTGTAATCTCAATGCTTAGAAAGGCCAGGAGTTCAAGACTAGTTGGGGAAACATGGTGAGACCTTGTCTGTTAAAAAACTATTAAAAATTAACTGGGCATGGCAGTGCTCACCTATAACCTCAGGTACTTTGGCGGCTGGGGCAAGAGGATCACTTGAACCTGAGAGTTGGAGGTTGCAGTGAGCTGTGATCATGCCACAGCAAACAGAGTGAGACCCTGTCTCACAGAAAACAAACAGCAACCAGCCTGGGCAACAGAGTAAGTCCCTGTCTCACAAAGAACAAAACCTCTTAGAAGAAAATAGATTAGGCTTAAATCTTCATAATCTTAGTTAGGCAATAGTTTCTTAAATATACCAAAAACATAAGCAACAAAGGCAAAACTAGATAAACTGGATATCATCAAAATTAAAAACTTTGCCCTTCAAAGACACCATCAAATATGTGAATTTGGACTCACAGAATGGGAGAAAAGTTTTGTAAATCATTTATGCAATAATGTATCTAAAATATAAAGAACTGGAATTGAAAGACAAAGAGGCTAATTTTAAAATGGGCAAGGAATCGGAATAGACATTTCTCCAAAGAAGATATACAAATGGCTGAAAAGCATATGAAAAGATATTCAATATCTTGGGAAGAATAGGTGGGAGAATCAGAGGCCGGGAGTTTAAGAATAGGCTAAGCAAGAGTCCATCTCTACAAAAAAAGAAAAATAGCCAGATAAGGTGGCACACACCTATAGTCCCAGGTACTTGGGAGGAGGCTAAGTTTGGAGGGTTGCTCAAGCCCAGGACTTTGAGGTTGTAGTTAGCTATGATGAAACCACTGCACTCTAGCTCTGGTGACAGAGCAAGACTTGGTCTCAAAGAAAAAAAAAAAGTTAAAAAACAAAACAAAACATTAAGCCTGCCATATGTTAAGTTCTATTAAGAAAGTGAGCTCCGTGAAGTCAAGGGTTGTATCTAGTTTTTTGGGTTTTTTTGGCCTGGGCTGGGTTTGAACCTGCCACCTCTGGCATAAGGGGCCAGCGCCCTACTCCTTTGAACCACAGGTGCCACCCAGGTTGTATCTGTTTTGCTAATCACCATCTAAAGTGCTTGGTACCTTCCACTGTCCCAAATAACTAAATTCCAACTTTCTCCCACAACTTAAACTTACTACTTACCATAATACTGAGAAACCACAACCCACTTCACTGTCCCTATACCCAACACTGGCAATGCAATTCATAATAGGCTGATTGCCCAATTGCTTCTGCCTTCATCCTTTGTTACCTGCTGAAAGTCAGTTTAGCAGATGTCTGATATTTTCTACCTGTCTAGCATCATGACACTTCAGTTTTCCTTTGGGAAACTTCCTTTAATTGCCTGTT